TATATACTATATACTTATATACTTATATACTATATATATATATACATAGCTCATGCACCTTACTATATTATGTATACAGATATACCTTCCATAGACATTGCTATAGCATATATATCTTCTGCTGTGATACCAACGTTTATCTTATCAAATACGTTCTTACGAATTTGTTCGTACTGCAATACAGCACAATCCGTTTATTAACGCGGGGGCTATAATGGCTGTGGCTCTGGTCAACCCTATAGAGGAACCATCCAAAACGTTTGATGACGCGCTTTCGATCTGGTACGACATGTGCGGCTTCAGCCGGAGAAGGTACTTGCCCTATACGCTTAAGTACTAACTATTACGTGTTGACCATTCTTCCCATCTCTCATATTTTGTTTTACATCCGTTGTCGCGTGCTGTATACGCTCAAGCAATACGTAATACGTTTTGACCACTCTGGCCGCCCCTCATCTTTTGTAGTACATCCGTTGCTGTGTACAGTTGGATGGTATCAGCCGCGTGACTCAGTCTGCAGATGATAAGTTTTGGTTGTGTCCGTTTGGCAGCATCGTTCACATGTGTTGTTAGCATTCGCAAACGCTTTGCATTTGGATGGTATCAGCCGCGTGACTCAGTCTGCAGATGATACGTGATACGTTTTTGTTGTGTCCGTTGTATGTTGTTAACAGTTGCACACGCTTTGCCTCAGATACCGCAACGGCACCGCCAACTTAACGAGTGGCGAAACGCCACCGCAGTTCAACAACGCAACATATCTTAGTGAGAAGGGCACCTCGTACAGGAACACATGTCTTACCTATATGATGAAGGTACGCGTGTGTGTGTGATGAGTCCATGACTTACCTACGTGATGAAGGTTTGCGTGTGTGTGTGATGAGTCATGACTTACCTACATAATGAAGGTGTGCGTGTGTGTTTGATGTGTCATGGCTTACCTACATGATGAAGGTATGCGTGTGTGTGTGATGAGTCATGCTTACCTACATGATGAAGGTATGCGTGTGTGTGATGAGTCATGGCTTACCTACATGATGAAGGTATGCGTGTGTGTGATGAGTCATGGCTTACCTACATGATGATGGTCTACTTGTCTGCATTTCTTTAGTCATAATTTGCCTACATGGGACACGTACATGTACACTATGCCCCGGTGCTATACACCCATATACCTTAATACTCAGCATTCATACACACACGTTGGCACTACCCTCACCTACCTACCTACCTACCTACTAGGAAGCAAAGTCGTTCCCTGATTGGGTGAACAATGCGCGCGACATATCCAAAGTGATTGAAGGCTATCTGCAGTTCTGCTCCATCGAGTGCACAGCCGATGCCATGTCTATGTTAGCAGCCACCCTGGCCAACGGAGGAACATGTATGTGAGATGGACGGACAGGAGAAAATAGATGCATGTATGCGTACGCATATGTGTGTATGTGGGGGCGTATGTGCGTTTATGCGTATTACACGCAATTACGAACATATATATATATATGTGTGTGTGTGTATGTGTGTGTGTATGTGTGTGTTTATATATATATATGTGTGTGTGCGTGTGTGTGTATATGCGTGTGTGTGCATCTATGGGTGTATATTGTATATACCTACCTATACATAACCTATACGTTGAGGACTGTTTCGAGCTATTTGTATATATATATATAATCTACATACCACGAATGGTAAGCTATTGGTTAGTTGGCTTATGCTCGAACACACATTCATATACGTACACGCTCTCTCTCTCTCTCTCATCCCTCATAGGTCCCACTACATTGAAGACCGTGTTCCAGCCTGAGGTTGTGCGCAATGCGCTGTCGCTGATGACCACGTGTGGCATGTACGACGCCTCAGGACAGTTTGCCTTTCAAATTGGATTCCCCTGCAAGTCCGGTGTGGGTGGAGGTGTGTGGATGTTTTAGGGGTTTTTGTGTGTGTGTGTCTGTACATGTGTGTGGATGTGTGCTTGTTTATCGATGTGTGGGTCTGTTCGCTTGTTTGTTCATGTGTTTGTGTGTACGTGTGTATATGTGCTTTTTTATTTATGTGTGTTTCTGTTTGCTTGTTTGTTCATGTGTCTGTATGTTTGTGTGTATGTGTCTCTGTATGTCTGTGTTTGTGTGTATGTATATATAAGTGCTTTTTTATTGATGTGTGTTTCTGTTTGCTTGTTTGTTCATGTGTCTGAATGTATGTGAGTATATATGTGAGTTTGTTTGCTTGTTTGTTTGTAGGTGTGTCGTTTTGAGTTTGTATATGTCTGTATGTCTGTGTTTATATGTGTATGTATGTCTGTGTTTATGTGTGTCTGTATGTCTTTGTTTATGTGTATGTATGTATGTTTGTTTTTTGGTGTGTGTGTGTGTGTTTGTCAGGTTGTTCATTTATCTGTATATCTTTGCTTATTTGTGAGTGTATGTTTGTGTTTATGTGTGCATGGGTGCTTGTTGTGTGTATGTGTGTATTATTTGCATGCGTGTGTATGTTTGTGTGTGCGTGCGTATCTGATTGTGAGTGCATTGGCATGTTTGTGTGCGTGATCGCATGCAAGTGTGGTGTGGCTGGGTTGTCTATGGTCGTCTGCGTTCTTCTTCATATATTTATAGATATTTTAAATTTAAATCGTTCTATTTTTAGACTAAGTATAACTCACTTGCGGTTATTCATTGTGCTCTCAGGATTGCTGATTGTTATTCCTGGTGTGATGGGCTTCTGCACGTTTTCGCCGCGCCTAGACTCGTGTGGCAATAGCGTACGAGGGGTTGCCTTCTGTAAGGAAATGGTGGACAGATACTCAGGTACGTACATATGTATATGTATATATATATATATTATAAGTATAAAAGTATACCAACACGCCGACTACAACCATTAAATTCTTTCCTGAATTTCACCTCTCCAATACTCAGTGCATCGTTTCGAGAGTCGAAATAAAGCTCCGCTGCGACGATTACAGACACATGCACAGCAACCGGCGAGTTGGGAAGACGAGATGACACAGATGCTGTGGGCCGCATACAGAGGCGATGAGAAGTTTGTCAAACAAATCATTGCAAAAGGAGCACCGGTTAAGTATGTCAGGGTTGTATGGGATTATGGATTATATATATATATATATATATATAAACTGTGATTGTCTGTGGGTAGAACCCTAGGGATGTTAGTCTCTGGATGTAACCCTAGGGGTGTTAGTGGTTACGTTTGGTGGTTAGCCTAAGCTCAGGACCTGGGGAAGGGTCAGGTTTAGGGTTACCCATAAGCAGAAGGGTTACCCATGGTGTGGGGCCTGAGGGTCTCAGAGTTGAGAGACTGTTTTGGCTCAGTGATGAGTTATCATCAAATATTCTATGCAGTCATGACCACGGTTGTGGGGTAGGGCTTGTTTGGGAGTGAGTGAGATATAAATTACTACCAAACATATTTGATTATAGATGGAGTGTGTGGCAGGAGAATTGCCGCACGCTACCCCACTAAACTATTAACCTAGAGAATAAACCTGTAATTTGTGTGAGTCTAGCTATTGTCTAGAATCACTCACTATATATATATGTGTGTGTATGTGTGTGTGTGTGTGTGTATGGATATATTTATATATATATATATATATATGTATGTATGTATGTATATATTATATATATATATATATATATATATATATTGTACATATATAAGTGACATATTAATCTCTGCTCTCTTTCCCATTTCCTTCAGTTATTCTGACTATGACGGGCGTACTGCTCTTCATCTGGCGGCGTCGGAGGGACATCTGCCAATGGTCAAACTGTTAGTTGCAGCAGGAGCTAAGGTTAAGAACATGGCAAAGGACAGATATCACAGCACACCATTGATGGATGCGCACAGAGAGGGTAGGTCACGTGTATTCTGTAAGTGTGTGAATATGCCAACTGGTATATGTATGGATATGTTTATATATATATATAAATATATATGTATGTACGTATATGTATGTATGTATGTATG